CCCCAAAACCCCAAAACCCCAAAACCCCAAAACCCCAGTTTATACTCAAGTTATTGAATTCTCCCTCTTTGAATAGTTTAGTGAGAATGTCAAGTAGAGAACTTAGAAGGCAACATGAGAGAACTGCGCCGGATGATTTGATTTAATAAAACTTACAGCTATATTTCACTTGCTGTAGAGGGATAGATTCGACTCTTTCTTGAACCTCTTGTCAATGATATCCATCTTTCTTTTTGGGAGACAAATTGGCAGGAAATATACACCACTACCGCAACAATGATTGCAAATATGATCAATCCTATGATTGCAAACCAAGGTGTATATGTTCGTTTCTCTTGTGTTTTGTTTTCTCAGTGCTGGCCAACAAAACCTGATCTACAAAGGCATTTTCCATTAACTCAGACACCTTCATTAAGTCATGAGCCAACTCAGTCTCTCATACCTGCATTAATAACTTCAATATCAGCTCATTGGTAGATTTTTCCTTGCTTAGTCTCTACCTCAAGTTGTAAGACACAATCATCACAAGTCATATTCGGAAACTTTACAGTGATGGATTCATAAGTTTCTGGATCCACTCTTCCACAAGAGAACTTGCCCTTGTGATAGAATTGGCGATAATAATTCCCTGTATCACCTGAGTAATAGTCCAATGATCCATCTTCATTTTGGAATGAAAAGTCGTAAACTGGTTCCAATGGCTCAAAAGCAGTCTCATGACTCTGATCTAGTCCATTAGAGAGTTTTATAGTTCAGTTTCCTTCAAGAATAGGGTGAATTACCTTCCATCTGATCAAGTTCGACCTTCCAGGATAAGCAGAGTAATAAACCATTCCTCTTTTAGTAGATCCACATGGAGGTTTATTTAATGGGTGTGCCACAGATCCTTCCCGAGGATAAGGGTCTTCCATTATTAGCTCTGGAATATACATAGAATCCTGCTTCCATATCTTATGGTTAGGTTTCATCTTCAATATTGGATTCTGCGGTTTATCTGATTCCTCATCCTGCTTGATATAATCATCATAATTGATATAATGAGCAAATCCATCGACTCTTTCCTGATTTCCAAAGTGTTGTGCTCTCCCAATTTCGATAAAAACCACACACAACACATAGAAACAGATTAAACCTTTAGTCCTCCAATTTCCTGATATCTCCTTGTTTCCAAGAGTAAACCCAGTCATAATATTTTAAATATTTTAAATTCCTAAAGGGGTTTTGGGGTTTTGGGGTTTTGGGGTTTTGGGGTTTTGGGG